ATACTTAAGTTATCTACAGCATGCAGAAAATGCAAAATTTGTATATAGATAAACATTATCTAGATAGTTGTAGTATCCCTGGTTTTATAATTTTGTTGCTGCTTAATCTTTGTAGTGATATATATGTTCAAGCATAAAACAAAAACCCTAAGAAATTCAATAATGATAATGATATTCAATTTACTGGAGTTGATACCTTCTGTTAACCAATTTAGTCCAAGCTTTTCTATGACTTTATGCACTATCTTAATCACCAAGTTGCTCGAATAGCTTGTTAGGGAGAGGGTTGAATAGAAGAGAGAATTTCTAAGACTCTTATACGGTTTGGAAACTGCTTATTATATAACTCAATCAATCCAATGATGCTAAATGTCTTAGAGAAGGCAAATAGGGTGAGCTAAGGAGTTACCACATGGTCAACATGGGCAAGCCATTGGAACTAGCCATATCTTGTCTTTGCTTTGACAAATCCTACAACTATTATTGTCATAATAGCAAAAAAGGTTCTCGATTCCAATTCTTTGTAGGAGTGACATCCCTTGCTTGTGTCTTGTGATCTTCTCAAGTAGTGGAACAAGCACTCGATCATCAAATAAAAGCCAGACAATGATAACAAGCAATGTGATATTATAATTGAGCTAGCAAGGATATCTATGTTGAAGCCTTTATGAAGGTCTATCTTTATAACTTTTGTTACCATCCATATTGGTATAATGTTTATGAGACACTCATCTCCAATGTGTTGAATGTTGCAAAACCTTTATGGATTGGTAGAAGAATCATCAAGATTTAATATAAAGCTGCCTTGTTTAAGAATATGAAAATACAAGATCAAGCAAACTTAGTTAATAAAATTATAGTGGCTTAGTACTAAGGCAAAGGCTGTGCTAAATTAATCCATTAGATCATGGTCAATGAGCTTTGATAGTAAGGAGTTCTTTAATGAAAAATTGTAGAAATACAAATCAAATGGTTATTCGGAAGATCAATGTTCCTTATAGGTTGCAACAAATACTTGAGGCCAAGTTTCGCACAAATTTGTAGTTTAAAATTAGGAAACTTTTGTAAAGCAGATAAAAAATGCATAGTTTAAATCAATTGTATCAAGCAAATGATTTTTTTTTTTAATATAGTAAATTACATTGTCAAAAAATTGATTGTTATTTGTAAACTATTTTTTTTATTAAGTAATTATGGAACAAATATATCAAGTAGAGAAAAATTAGATGTTGTATAAGTAAATCTATGATAAGCGTCGTAAAGGCAAAGAAACACAAAACCACAAGCACTAATGGAAGCCAAACCTACAACATTAACAACAGAAGAAATGCTTTATTCGAATCTACATAATTTAGTATTGGGAGCCAACTAATACTAGAGATCATTAAATAGTAATCGTCATAGAGTTGTTATGAATCTCTATATAAAGTAAAAAAGCTACCACTATAAGCATCTTGTATAGCGAGACATCTAATCATGTCTGAAAAGGCAACTTATAGGCAAGCCACTTTAAATCTAACCTTGTGGTTGTGGTGGTATTGTATTTAACTTCTATGGTGTTAATCTACAACCTTGATTGTGTCCTTATCATGAAAGCCAATCAAGAGCCATTGTGTCCTTATCATGAAAGCCAATCAAGAGCCATGTCCAAAGTCAAATTGGCAAAAATCACATGCAACTTAGACTTTGTTTGTTTTTCACATAGCACTTTGTTTAAAAATGTAAATTTATTATTCTTAATTTTAGTTATTTTATATATTTTATTAATATTAATTAATATTTTGTATATTTTTAAGATAATAAAGATAAAAAAAAAAATCTATGGTTACAATGCAACATAGCACTAACAAATGAAGCCATAGTTTTTGTTTTAGCTACTCTTTAATTCAAAGTTTACTTGTTACGTGCTTCTCTCTCTCTCTTCTCATAACCTTGTCATTTCATTATCATTATTATTCTTTTTTAATCTTGCCCTCACTTTCTCACAAAAATGTGTCTTGCAACTTTGGTGCAAAATGTTGTCTTTGAATTTTTATTTTTATTTTTTATAAGGATCTTCTCTCTTGCTATTCAAATGCTAAATGCATTCTTCTTCCTAATGTAGGATTCATTGAAAACAAATGGATTGATCAAGCTATGAAGTGTGGACTTAAGTTTCTCTAGGCACATCCGAACTATTTATTGTTTTATCTAAGTTCAAGTTTGATATTTGATGTGTTGTGGAAATCCTAATTCAGCCTAGCAGGAGCAGTGAGTTTTTAGAAGGGGAAAAAAGGTGATGCTAGCATTTATGTTTCTTTGATTGAGTTCTTGTTAAGTTAAACTTATGATAATTAGTCAATCGAGTCTATTTTTGGCCTTTAAATAATCTCTAAGCCAAGTCAAAAATGGTGCCTAGAATAATTTACATAATTTTGTTTTGGGATTGAACTATGCATGCTTGAAGGGAGCAATTTCGTTTTAGCCACACTATAAAGAGTTAATTTTATATAATGTAACTATTGAAGCTGAACAAGAGTAGAAACAAACCAAGAAATTAGTAAACGCATAGGTGATTAGGGTTTTAACCAAGCTATTTGAAGCTATGTGCTTATGTAATTGAAATGCAAATTCAGTTGGCTATGTCAATCTTTTAACAAGCTTCTACAACTTTCTTTTAACAGATGTGGTATTTACTACATATCCTAAAACATATTGAAACTAATGTAGTGCCATGTTTAACTTTGGGATGGAAGTAATGCTAATATTTTTCCTTGATTGTGACCATGAAAAGTTTAACTTTTGATAACTACTTAATTAACCAGCTATTCAAGGTTGTTTTGGGTGTATAAATAATATTTAACCAGGTCAAAAATGGTGTCTTTGGACTCAGCATAACTTATGCGATTTTGTGTTGCAACTGAACAGTGTTTTTGGGTTAATGTGCTTCAGGAGGTTAACTTAGTTCTTTGCTACAGTGTAAAGAGTTAATTGTATGTATTTTTTATATTGAAGCTAAGAAAAAATATAAATTAAAAAAAGAAATAAAAATGGCTTAATTAGGTGAGGTGGGTTTTCTGTATTCTCCTAGTTTGGTCCACTTTTTCTTTTCTTTTTCTTTTTTTTTTTTGTTTTTCCTTGTATCCTAGTTTAGTTTGCCATATCTTTCCTGCAAAATTTTTCACCTCTTTTTGGTATTTTTTTCTAGGGAACTCTATTTGGCCTTTTGTTTACTAAGAGTTAGAATGTGAAAAGAACTGTCTAAATCTTTAAGGAGTTTTTCATTTTTTTTTCTCTTTTCTTTAATTTCCTTGGCAAGGAAAATAGTTGGCCTTATTATACAATATTACTTTTACAACATTACTTGTACAATTATTATTCGATTTAAAATTGTAGAACTTCCTAAAAAGTTTCATAAATAGCAACCTTAGGAAGGCGTATTAACGTATATGCATGCAGTGTTAAATGTAACCTGGTAGTGGTATGGTATCACATTTAAGTTTTGAAAAATAATTAGTATACTTCTTGGTTTAACACATTTGATAATATTTATCGATTTAGTTATTAAAATATATTATTTTAAGTTTCTTGCCTTTAATTTAAATTTAAAAATATTAATTTGTTAATGAGTATATTATAAGAGAGGTTGAATTGAAAAGTGTACTAATTATTGTCTTTAACCTTTAGTGTTAATCTATAGCATTGATTGAGTCTTTATAATGCAAGTCAGTCGACATTGTTGTTGGTTTCAAAAATACCTTTGACCTGTGTCCAAAGTGGTGAAAATCACATGAAAATGCAGTTTTGTTTTAGCTGCTTAACTCAATTAATATCTTTTAATTCAAAGTTTACTTGTTACATTTAGCATCATTCTTTTTTGGCTGCTATTTTGGTTTTTCCTTGCTTTCTATCTTGAAACTTCACTGCAAAATGCCATATTTGGATCGTTGTTTCTTGATAAGGATCTTCTCTATTATTATTGAGATGCTATAAATAAAATGCATTCTTCTTCCTAATGCAGGATTCATGGAAACCACATGGGTTGATTGAGCAGTGGAGTGTGAAGCATGTAATATTATCTTTAACGTATTACGTTAAGACTCTTTTATAGGTGTATCAACATTAAAATTATGATTTAGGAAACATTGTATCCAGCTACTAACCTTAAGCACATAAGATCCAACATTTGCTGTTTTATCCAAGTTCGTGTTTTTGACATTTGATATGTTGTCAAAATGCCAGTTCAAATTAGCATGAGCAGTGACTTAGAGAAAGCTGGAAACGAGATTGCTTTTGTGAATGCTAATATGCTTTTGTTTCCTTAATTGAGTCCTTGTCAATTCAAGCTGTTTTAGGCCTCTAAAATTTCTTTGAGCTAGGTCAGAACCGGTATCTCTAATAACTTCTTTAATTTTGTTTTTAGCCACACTTCAAAGAGTTAATTGTATGTAATGCAACTTTTGAAGCTTAGAAAAGTATAAATGAACAAAACAAAGAAAATGCTTGGTTGATTTAAGTTTCCCTGAACAACCCTGATATGATTGTGGAAATCGACATGTAAATTTTAATATAAAATTTATATTTAATTAAAAATTAATTGATAATAAATAAAGTAATTTACTTTATATTTAAATTAAATATTTTGTTATTATATTTACAATAGATAATCCTTCCACCAAACACTGAAATTTACTCCTTTTTTATTTTTTAAATAAATTCAATTTATATTTTTTTATAACATCACATACTTATAATTATAAAATAACATATCATAACATTATATTAATCTTTTTTTTATTCCTCTATTCATCTATTTTATTTATTTTACATATTATAAATAATTATATATGATATTATAATTGCATTATTTTTATAATATTATATCTATCTTATTTCCATCCATTTTATTTCCCAATTTACCGAAATAAATTATTTATTTCATCAGATGTCTCCTCCTCTCAAGACAAAGAAGAGCACTGGAAATCGCCAGTTTCACACATCACGTGTGCCTTACTAAAATCACTGCAAACCAAAGTCTCGGAAGCTTAAAGAAGGAACTTCTGCTTAACAAAGGAGCTTGTGCTTAAATCCAAGCAAAATCCCAACCTTATCCGTACCCAAACACGGCCTTAACGTTACGTGGTTGTAAGCTTCTGAGCTATAACCGATAAAGAGACGACAGTCACTTATTGTAAAAGCGATTCTTTAACCACTTAGCTAAATTTCCCCGCCCATCCCCCAAAACTACGGAATTGTTCGTTGCTTCTCTCTTTTTCCCTCGCCGTTTGTCTTCCTTCTCTCTTATGCAGCCACCAAGTGTTCGGAGAAATGCTGGAGTCATGGTGTCCTTCACCGCCGCTCTTATCTCCCCTCCGTTTTTGACGCATTTTGATTCTCCCGTTTCCCCTTCTTGCCTCTGCGCTGTTGGGCCGTGGGGAGGAGTGGGGAAGGGAGGAAATTTTTTGCCACTGAAGTTGAGTGTTGCTCTGGGGGAGGAGAGTCGATGTGGGTTTTCTTTCTTGGGGTTTATTGAAGTGAAGAGGAGGAGGAGGAGGAGGAGGAGGGGTTCTGGATATTCTTGTTGGTGCAAAAAAGAGTGCGATAGTGAAGGGGATTTGGCTTTGGAAGCAGAGATATTGAAGTTCATGAAAGATAGTGAGAAGCCAGAGGTTTTTCCGAGCAAGAAAGAGTTGGTGGATGCAGGGAGGATGGATCTTGTGGAGGCTATTCAGAGACAGGGAGGATGGCTTGCCTTGGGTTGGGATTTGGATAATGGCTGTGATAGTCAAGAGGAGCAAGAACAGCAGTATCAGTTTCAAGAAAATGGTTTTCAACATTTGAATTTTCACCAAACTGAGAACACATGGAATAATGGGGATCTGAAAAACAGTGTTGACGGTGAAGTTCGGAGTTCTAGGGCTTCTTCTTGCTCTCCATCCTCGTCTGGTAGAACACTGTGAGGATTCTAATTTTTTATTTTACTTGATTATGCTTGCCCTTTTTTTTTTTTCTTTTTTTTTTCTGTTCATGACAGATGTCCATTTACGGAAGTATGGTTAAAAATGCTATTTCTTGAATTCGCTATCCTAGAGGAATAACTTAACGTGGTTGTATAAATGCATTATGATGTTTGAAAAATACAATTTTGTTGATGTCTTTTCTTGTTTATAATTCTCATGCGTCCAATAAATAGTTGCTTGACCCCTTATGAATAAATGAATTTAATTTTTTTAACAACATATCCTTTTCTCCCCTGGTTTTGGCTTGCAAACTATTATATGAAAAGTGAAACTGCGGAAAGTAAATGAAAATTGGGATCGTTTAACAACTGGACCACCCTCTAAAAAGGTTACCCTGGTTATACTGGAAAGTTCTTGACTCAATAATCTATTTACTCAGAGAAGAAGTGGCAGCAGAGGATGGCAGAGGGATTGAGGATATACTGAGTCGTTTGGAGAAAGAAAGGAATATCAATTTTGGCTTTGGTTTCAATGAGAAGGAAATAAGCACTCGTTTCCCAAGTAATGATCACAAAGATGACTTTCTTCCTCAACAATCCACCACGATAGGTATGATATGATGATTTATTGATGTTGAATACCAATCACTAGTTTTTTTATATGATTTAATTTCCCTCACAAAATTTACTTGCTGGTTTAATATATTACTTTTTTTTATGCTTAAATGAAGATTTCAAGTTGGTCAGATATATTTCTCTATTTTAGTGCCATTACAACGTATTGGGTGGTGTAGACATAACAAGTTTTGCCCTTTTGAGTATTTTGCTCAACCTCTGTTATAACTGGAATATTAAATTTGTAACGGAACCTTGTTTTTAAAATGCATCTACCCTATTGGATAACCTATATCGCCTTAGAGTTGATCACTGGTTTTTTGTGGCATGGAGAACTTAATCATAACTTTTACTTTTTGTTTTGTTGTAAAAGTCAGTTGCTGGCCCTGAGAGAAGAAGATCTATATCCAATACTAGCAGAGGTATAATTGATGATAGTGGGGGCAAAATCAGTCACAACCAGTCCTTTCTTGGTGTCGATGATCTTAGACATGGAAGCTCCATTAAGTCAGATATTTGGAGAAATTGGAGCATCCAGAGAGCAGGGCCTTCAGACATGGAATTTGAAGGTAGTTTTCTTAGTAGCATGAATTTCTTCCTGCCTTAACAGTTTTGATTCAGATAACTTCTGTTTGTGTTAATGCAATTGCAATGTATACAACTGCTGACATTACTTATAATGAAATGGGAGGCGCAACAGATATTTCAGGAGATGACACACTTGAAATAAGAGATAGATCTAGTGAGTTGGACCGAAGAAATGAATCAAATTCTTTTCAAAACGATAACCCAGATCAAATCCACAGTCACCTTGAGCGCTTGGAGTTAGAGCTTTCCTCTGTGCTTCAGTCACTCAGGTCTGATGCTGATAATATTTCATTGCAAGAGGTGGGTTACTGTTTTTTGCCCCTGTATATGTGCACTTACCACAACATTCAGGAACCTTTTCTTTTTATATTATCGTTGAAGAAACTTATCAAATATTTTGGTTCCATCCTTCTGTTAAATTGAAAATAATCAGGTCATTAAAGTATATATCTCCTTGGGGAGTTAGGAGAAACAGTGAGAGTGTTTGTTGTACTAAAGAAATTCCATGGAACTACATCCAATGATTCTCATATTGAAAATGTCCTTATAGATTGATTTGTCACATGTTATCCATAACTGTTCAAATGTGTATTAAGTTCCTTATTGTTTAAACTTCCACCCAGTCCCTTTTAAAATGAAATAAGAGCTTGCATTCATATTTAAAAGGCATAAAAAAATAAATAAAGAATTTTTATTTTTTTGTGGCGCAGGTGGGGGTGTCTGCTTCTACAGTCCTCATGTTTGCAGAAAGAAAAGCTGTAAAAATATTGAAATTTGGTGTAGAAAATATTGAAATATTGATAAATGTCATCCACTTTTATCTTATTTTTTTAAAGATAATTATCTTTTTCATCTAAAAAATTGTGCTAAATCTCAACCATTCATAGTGGATAAATGGATGGTCAAGATTTTGTATAAGTGGTGTGGGTAAGATTTATGTGAAAGTGGGTCCTAATTCATATATATATATATATATGGTCAAACTTATTTGTCAATAGTTCTAATTTAGCTTTGGATTTAATAATTTATCCATTTGAGTAGTGAGATTGTCTCGTTTTTCTGTTTTCCTGTCTGGGATGTTTAGTTTATGTAATGATCAGTTCAAACTTGAAGTAAGAGTTGTCTATGTTGATGGCCAAAGAAAAAAAAAGGGAGTTTCTATGAGTAAATTTTTTTTTTTTCCAGTGATAAGATGATAACTTTAAACTGATAAATATTCTGATTCGAAGAATTGATTGCACTTCTGTTTTTTTGCCACAAAAGCTACCCCATTGCATCCTTTCACCATTTTTCTAATTCTTTCTTGTAGGGTTTCAAATCGCCTTTTTAATCGTGCTCTATATACTATTAACTGTTTTAGGATGACAGAAGCTCCAAGGACAATTTACAGAATCTTTCTGATGCGCTGGAGTTTCAACAAAATGAAATCTTGACTGCTCAGGGCAAGCTACGATCCATTCGGGCAAAATTGGCAGTTTTGGAAGGAAAGATGGCACTCTCAATAATGTATGCATATTTTTTCTTTATTACCACAAATGCTATCTAACTTGTTACCATGAAAATAATTCTCACACTCTTGTTACAGAGATACACAAAAGATTGTGGAACAAAAGCAGAGAAGGATTGATGATGCTCGTAGAGCTTCACAACTTCTTCGTACTGCTTATATAGTGTGGCCTAATTCAGCATCAGAGGTGCTCTTAGCAGGATCATTTGATGGATGGGCCACCCAGGTTTGTCCCATCTGAAGTACAAATTTGTTTAAATTTGACAACACTGTAGTTTTCCTTTCGTTTCTTGGATTCATTAATTGAAGTGTTGCTATGTGTGGCTGAACACACACTGCTGGAATCATTTCATGGGTGCCCCTTTCTTAATTTTTGTGGGTCTTGAATCAGCATTCTATATGTAGCATAATTATGTTTGATAGATTTTGAAAGCAACAATATTTTGACCCATGAATTTATTTAGCAATTGAATTACTGCTTATTTTGTCAAATACCTGTATGGAAATATAGAACTGAATTTTATTTGAATCAACATGGAATCTCTTATATCAGAAAGAGTCACCTTCCCTTAGCAATCAAATGATCTTTTCTTTGATAAAGCATAGTAGGGCCAATATCCTGTTGGCCTTGCTCAGAGTGCTTGCTTCCTTTTTGTTTACTCCCAACCAAGTTCCCTTGGGTGTTGGCCTACTGAGGCACACTGTTCCTGCAGCCTCCCACAGTTTGATTGATTAAGGGAATGTGGTTTATCTTTACTATTTTTGCTGCGGCAGCCTTTCATCTTTCTCTAGGTGTAGGTGTAAGCTATTGTGTTTAATAATGTCCATTCTTTACCTGTTAGCTCTTATTTCATCAACGGCTGAGGGTATTTCATTGAATTTCTGAATTTTAGCTGCCCCATATCCCAAGATAGAAAGGTATTGCATCAACATGTTGTTTTTCTTTGGAAAGACGGTATATTTTACACATAAAAATGATATTACACAAGAAACCAGAATTCTTGGAATAGTTTTGTCCAATTCCAAGGGCCCAGGAAACCAAAATTATTGACAGCTTTAAATTTTTTGTAACATCCATGGACTAACCATCCATGCCTTTTTCTGTGCTTAACTTGAGCTCTTGCTTTTTGATAACTCAGTCTTGGTGCCTCTGCTTGTGGAATGATTGGTGGTATATAGGATCTTCACTATTCTGTCATGTGAACCACTTCATTCATCACGGGAATGTGTATGGATCTCTATTTAATGACATCTAACTTAAATTCTCATTTGCAGAGGAAGATGGAAAGATCAAGAACTGGTGTTTTTTCACTGTACTTGAAGTTGTATCCTGGTAGATACGAGGTAAGATAATTCTGTCATCTGACCAAAGATTGTAAATTATTAATGATCTTAGAATGAGAGAGACATTACCTTATGCTACAGATCAAATTCATTGTTGATGGTAAATGGATGATTGATCCCTTCCGCCCGATTGTTCACAACGGACATGAGAATAACCTACTTATTATCACATAGGTGGATATATTCAATACAGGGAATTAGAAGAATTAGAAATTTAGGTACTAATTGTTTAAGTTCTTCTCCTTTTTCATTTCTTTGTAAACAAGTAGAGTGGAAGCAGAG